TCAACCCCATTGAGACCCTCCCCTATTGCAACAATTTTTTTGTAAGAAATATTATCTGTTTGGTATAAATAACTTCTTATTTATTCATATAGATGGATGCTGATATATTCAGAACCAGTTTGGGGGGGGGGGAAGTAAAGGCCTTGGCGAGATTCTTCCATATAAGGTTAGGAAATAGCGGCTCGTCTGTAACGGATACGAGTGATGCTTCTAAAGTTACTTTCATTGCATGAGCCGTGGGCGGTTGATATTGAAACCATCATTATCGCCGCCACCATCAGGACCCTAGCAAGACGAGGGCAACTAGCATGTGACTCGACAGACAGCTTCTCCAGCGAAAAAAACCTTGATCGTATTTTTTAAAAAAAAACAACTTTAACGACGACTTAATCCGACAAAACACTCGCCGAACTACCGCAACTACCGAAAGAAATGGCACCACACCTCCTACAGCGACTGTACCATAAATAAAAGGCATGTCCGATAACATCCTACAACCCTTCAATATCCGCGTCTCCCACAAACCCATCACTACACTACATCAGTTACCAACAAACGTCAAAGACAAGGACGAACCGAAGAACAGACAGGTAGCAGTTTATAAGATCAGCTACTCCAACTGTCAAGCCCCCTTCATCGGAGAGACTGGCAGAAACAAAAAGTCCAAAGAGTTCGTCTTTGAAGATATTACATGAACAGGCCGTCCGTTGATTTCCAGTGCCTCTCGGTCAAATCCTGGAGGTTCCAGCTGAGACTTGAACAAAATTTTCAAACGGGTGTAGGTGGACAGGCGGTGAACGGCTTTATTCTATCAGATCTGCAGAGAATATACTCGCTTACGGAAAGTACCTTCATGTTAGCCTCCAATGGCAAAGCCTAATATACTTAAATACAGTAAAAAGCTTTCCTACATTTATGTTATTGTAAAATGTAGTTTAAACGTTAAGTGAGAGACAAAACCAAGAACCACATTGTAAACCAAAAGCAAGCGAAGAACAAAACCAGAAATAGACACAAGAAAAAGTTAACGGCAAAAGAAAAGTTAAAGATCAACATAAATAAACAAGAAACGGAAACAAAAAAAAAAGCGAATCTTGTATTCGACCACACTTCATGCCAAGGGGAATATTACCATCGTCGCAACCCGAGGTACGTCTGGTTTCTCGCACGCAATTGGTGCCGTCATTTTTTCGGTCGTAGATTGGTGAAATCTCTTTCTTTGTGTCGAAATGGCAGCAAATTGCCATGCGATGGGATTTGGAAAGAGCTCCAAGCAGAACAAGTGCTCCAGTTTTCCGTCGCCCCAGTCAGTCCAAAGCCATATACAAACACTTAGATGTACAAAAACAGATAAAATCATGAACAATTGTCCTTCATGTCGTACACACATGGCGATCGTAATCCTTCAGGAAAAAAAACCTAACGAAGTCCACGCTACCTTGACGAGTTACACCGGTTTAGAAACGAATCAGAACTATAATTCTTATAAGGAATGATAAAACCTAATCGGATAAATACTGAAGTCGCCTTCAGCGCTCAAATCGTTGTTTACAACTGTCAGAGTTCTTCGAATACAAAAACGTGTATAATATAAAGGCCAATATCTGAGACAATGGCTCCGAGAAGCCGAAGTACAAAGATAATAGGGTTAGCTGTTAAAATTATCGAGACCGTGGCAAAGATCTGGCCGCGGCAAGAATGCGTTATTTCCAGAAGTAGAAGGAAAGGGCGGAGTTTGCACCAGCGGGCCAATACTGAGACGGGCTTAATGACAACAGATATCAATGTTT